AGGCTGCATTCGCAATGCCCACTGGAGATGCATGCAAACCTGGCAGTGAGGAAGAACGTCATCGGCACAAGAACAAAGAAAAGGAGGATCAAACAGGGTGTCTTAGTCTTAGTGGACAGCTGATGCTCACATACCTGCGTGCAATAACACTGAGAGTCCAATAACTCTGTGCATTCGGAAAATGAGCGAGGTTTATAACCAATACAGCAAACACTGCAGGGCAGAGCGAAAGATTAATAGACACAGAGAATTACAAAGGGATGAAAGAGGAAGAAGAGGACAAATGGGTGCAGGGAGTCCCTCTGTCTTTTATGTTATTTGCTGGGAGCTTATCGGCCTGGCCTGAAAGAACCACTGCACTGTCACTGTGCAAACACAGGTGGGTCGGCTCGCCTGACAGAAAGAGAAAGAGATATGAGGGAGAATAATGGAGGAAAGAGAATGAATCACAATGGAGGACATTAAAGGCGAGAGAGACTCAGAGAAAAGCAGTGTAATTGATTCCTCTAAAAAATTGAAATGGTTCGCCTAGACGAAATGCAGAGATTGTATTTCCTAAATTCTTTATTTCCAAAACGTAAAGTATCTGTGGTATGTTCTTTTTGTCATTCGAATGTACCAGTGGTTCAAACGCTTTCATATTTAGATAGGGAGCGCGGTCTAAAGGGAGGGGGCGTGAGCTGGGGTTCGGGTGGAGAGAGGAGGCCGAGCAAGGGATATAAGGGGCTGACGCTGGCTTTGAGTGATGGCTATTTGAACAGGCATGTTTACCCTGGCCCTGCTGAAAAGGGACGGAGGGACGCCAGTGGAGATGTGCAGGAACAGACGGGCGATAAAAAAAAAGCTGCCACTGTGTAAACCTTGTCGGCCCAGTCTTTCCTTCTGGTGACCATGACAACCCAGCAGAACCCACTCTCTGCCCAATCACATGCCCTCCTTTTGACGTGTGGAACAAAACGTCTCAGACGTGGCAGGTCAGGGCAGACATTTTGAATCAGTTACTACTGTGGCCCAACAGCTACAAGCAGTATTGTCCTCTCCTCTCTCATTCTCCACTTTGCCAAATAGCGAGCGAAGCTCTGCTTGGAAAATGATATTAGCTCAGAATTCTGTCTCCTATTATCAGTGTTCATACACTTTGTTTTGATTCCAACTGCTGTGAGTTCTGTAAAAAAAGTAGTCTCGTCTTGGTAAATTTTTCTGAAAGAAAGACGTTATAAACTGTAGCATCTACTGTTTTTGTTTGTCTCCTGAACGATTTTCCATTTAAAGGATACATAGCACTGTGTGAAACTCAGAGACTACTCTTTATTTATTTATTTACAGGCAACTATTAAATACAAGTTCTTCATTTTCAGGAGATAATTCAGAGGAGGTTACACATTTTTGCTGTTTAAAGAAAAACATGTATCTCTATTTTTGTTGATTTTTATTTTTCCACATCCTTTTAACACTGCCATTGTCCATTACATTGACAATTCATGATGGTTGGACCTATAGAAGAGCTCCGAAACACTTGGAATAAAACCTCTTTCTATTAGCTTGCATTAAAAGTTCAGAACGTTTTTGCCTGTTCTTGTAAAGTTACTATTTTGGAAATGCATGTTTTTCTTTGAACAGCAGTGATATATGGTAATCCTGTTGCATCAGGTAGGGGAAAGTCAGAGTACAAATGTGGAATAACAGGAGTTTCTGAAAGTTGAGTTTAAAAAAAAATTAAAAGTTATAAAGAAAAAACAGCACTCCTAACAACTGCGCAGGACCCGCTAGACCACCAAAACTGTCACCATCAGATAAACTGCACTCAAGCTCCACTCTTGCTTTAGATCTGAAAAAATCCACAACTGTTTCTGTCCATCCTTCCACTGTGAGGGGACAACTCAACACTATGGGTCGGAAAGGATGTGTGTCTGTCAAAAAGCCATTCTTGAGTAAAGGAAACAAAATATTAAAACAGTTTTCCTTAGAAGCTTACTAGAAACTGGACTGATGATTTTAAATTTGTAATTGGGATTACTTGAATTGTGAGAAGCTTTTGGAGGCTGAACTTTGTAGGTGGTGAAAAATATCCCTGCAGATTTTTTAGAATAAAATGAAAGCTGTAATAAAGGGTGATGCTGAAAAATGAATAATTTGAATCTAATGACTGTTTTGATTGGAAATTAAATAAATGGAGCATGCTCTCTGACTGTTGCACAGTACTGTGTATTGATATTTAATTTATAAGATTTATAAAAAACTATATCATTATACGTGCAATATCTAGAGTTTGCCATTAAAATTCATTCAAATTGTTGGGTGGCCAAAATTCTTATATTTATTGTTACTGTGATAAATGATGTCACATTAGGTCACAATATGCTTTGTAAGCATATTCTGAGTATTGTCCGTATTTAAAGAACACTGACACTCTAATCGCCGGTTAGTTTCATCTGGTACAATGTGTAGTTTTTTCTGTCATTCTACATAGTAATAATCTCATAATCTGATTACCTGAACCACCTATAATCTGATTAGTGTCTTTTTGTGTGACTGTAATGGATTAAAGTCAGTCTTTTTGTGTTTCAAATATGTAATCTCATTACATGTGTACTATCCTTCCCCAATTCAGACCAGACTGAGAAACAATCGCTTTGATATCTGAGTTGTGAATTGGGCACTTTTTTCATCACCAAGGCCTTTTGATCTGTTGGTTTCCACCATCTGCCCAGCGCACATACGTTTTTTTTTTAGATAGTTGATTAATTAAAGACTATTCATTCATCAGTCATATCCACATATGCTGCAGTGTGGGCCTGTCAAAGGCAGGCGGGCCGACTTGCATTCACCAGCGAGGATATAGATCACATTGTGGCAGTCGCAACCCTCAAAACTCATGAACTCCCCATCCCTCACTCTTTTCTCCGTAGACTGGACACACACAGAGGGGCCTGTGGCCTCTGCTCAGATCGCTGTGGGTGTCCCTGTGTCCCCACTGAGGAAGACACTGCTTTGGGGAGGTCCATCATTAAAGCCAGTGTCATCCCTTTGTCCACATACACTCGTACACAATGCTGCTTACCCAAGACACAAAGGTTAAAGCAGGAGGGGTGGAGGCGGGGTCGGGACCTTTTGAATAACCTTCCCGGCATTACCATGTAGCAGAATGACACCCCACACACTCTTACTGAGGCCTGTCCTGCAAATTCCGTACACAGCAAATCTTAATAAGATACAAAGTGTTGATTGGTTTACTTCAATGCACCAGTCACTGTAAGTCATACTGTAACACTCATAGTCATATTCTACTTAATGTTTATTTGCATTTGAGAGTCTGCCTAATTGCCGTTCATTTATCATTTGAATTTTGTTGTTCTGTTCTCATAACTCTGCATGCTTCTTGGGATGTAAACTATCGCACCGTCGTCTTGTAGGCAGATGTGGATGATGCCCGTCTGGTAGAAAGGTGACTACAGTCTCAGGCTGCTGGTTTTCACACGCTGTGGCTATCTTGTTAGGGGCAGCATGAGGAATGTCATTGTGTGCTCTGAGTTTTATACATTACAATGCGAGAAAGACAATGGCTCAGTTAAAGTAAGAGTGACTCCTCTGCGCACACTCCAAGAATTCGAGGAATGCCAAAAACAATACCAATGCCATCCAGACATAAATTTAACGTTTCTGTTCTGTTCAATCAGACCACTTAACATTTGTAGCAACCTTTAAATTTAACTTTATTTAAAAAAAGCACAGCAAGAAATGTTTCAACTGACTCATGAGTCCAATCACTTTGGTAGAAAAAGTACAGAAAAACTGTAATTAGAAGTTTGTTTGAAAATCTTACTCATCTAAACACACACACACACACACACACACACACACACACACACACACACACATATATATATATATATATATATATATATATATATATATATATATATATATATATATATTGAAGACCCCAGTTTTGTTGATTTTCACACATACTCTACAGGGAACAAACTTACACATGGTATTTTTTTGCAAATTTAGCACACAGTTTGTATTTAGTTGCTGAGTTGAACATATTGGAAAATAATAAAACATAAATTACAAAATTTGTCATACTTTTTGTAAAGGCTTGCAAAGTGTTTTTTTTTATTTCCCGAATATGTTAAATTTGCCAAATGTAGAGTAACAGTGCATTAAAATATATTTTCTCTGTAGAAGACGTGTTACTTATTTTCACAAAATCAACAAAATATAATTTGACAAGGGGCGCCCAAAGTTTTGCATTTTGACTATAGAAAAGTAAATGTTTAACAAATCAATTCAAAGTTTTCTTTGTTTGATAGTATGTGATAAGATGGTATTTGATGCAGTGATTAATTGGTGTTTCTGTCTTTAGCACAATTAAGGGCGGCACGTTTTTACACTATAATATGAATTAGTTTCAATGTTTTAATAAAAAATAAATAGAAATGCACAAGGAACTTGATTGCCAGTGGAAATAAAAACTAGCAGTGATTACCAATAAAAAAGGAAAGTGGTGTTTGAGAATTGTAACATGTAAGTTGAAGGTCTAAATTAAAATGTAAAAAATAAAAAGTGTTTTTTTTTTTTTGGAAATGAAATTTAGTAAGAGTATAAATATATAATTTCAGTAATACTTAAGTGAAGCACAAATCTCCCAAAATAATACTTAAACACAGTAGTGAAATACAGAGACTCAAATGTTTTCCACCACTGTCCAGTCAAATAAAGACCAACCATATTTAGTTTTTTGAAGGCCTGTTTATTATCTAATATTTCGAAATATGTACAGCAAAACAGACAAAGCATTTTCAAGGAGAGGACCAAAAAGTACACAAGTAGCACTGTGTTACACTCTTAAATAAAAAAGAAAATGCTTCAATAGTATAGAATAGGTATAGAAACTTTACATCATGTGGAGGTTCTTTAAACTTTTAAAATGTTTTTCACACTCACACAAATCTCATTTATAAAATGTACTTTCAAGCATCCATTGACAGGTTCTCTATGGTACCAAAAGTGGTTCTTCAATGGAATCGTTTTGGCACCTTTATTTTTAAGAGTGTAGTTCAGACAGTCTGGTAAAGCAACACTTCAGGAGGAGCTTAGAACTGGCACAGGACACATGCTGAGTCCAGAATAGTACATGGAGTCTCCTGCATACGAGGGTTCCTCTCTGCCTGTGAGATATGGGTTGTAGTGATGAAGGTTGGAGTTTGATGATGGGTAGTAAACAGGGTAACTCATAGGAGCCTCATAACACTGAAAGTCCATAAGCGGGGCCATGGAGAGGGGTTGGTGGAAGAAGGGTTCCCCAGGAGCACATGGCTCCATGGGGCGGGAAGAGGTGGGCTGAAGCCCAGGGCTGGCTGTGGGCATGCTGGGAAATGATACGGTGGGCAGGTGTGCAGAGGGATCCGTAAGTGGGGGAGGAAATGGGGTCAGCGTGTGTTGGGGTGGGGTAGCTGAGGGTGACTTTGGCATTAGAGAACAATCCATAGCTTGGGGTACGGCCACTGAGACAGGAAGCTGTGCAGGTGCAGGGGAAATGGATGAAGAGATAGAAGCTTTAACCTCCGACTTCTTCTTCTTGCCCTCCTCTTTCACCAGCTCCCCGTCCACTTTTTTGGATGAGTTTTTGGATGAGGGTGGTGATGTTGCCCTTGAGCACCGGAAACGCTTCTGGCGACGCATGTAGCAGCCGTTCTCAAACATGTTACCTGAGTCTGGGTGCAGGGTCCAGAAGGAACCTTTTCCTGGAGAGTCTGGGGATCTGGGCACCCTCACAAAGCAGTCGTTGAAAGACAATGAGTGGCGGATGGAGTTTTGCCAGCGTTGCTGGTTCTGTCGGTAGTAAGGGAAGAGCTGGCGGATCCAGTCATAGATCTCATTCAGAGTGAGCTTCTTCGTTGGTGACTGTTGGATGGCCATGTAGATCAGTGAGATGTAGGAATAGGGTGGCTTGGAGTGGTTGAAGGTTCGCCGGTACACAGATTTCAGGTCAGGAAACTCTGATCCATTGTGATCCGTCTCAGGGCATCTCTGTTGAGGCTGCTGGACCGGGGCACCTGATGGGCCCTCAAGTCTCCCTGCATCTCCTCCTGTCACTGATTCCCTCTGTGGGCCGAAGCAGTGGTAAGGATCCTCAGGAGAGGAATACGCCCCACTGCATAGTCGCAGACTCTCTGTTCCACAGTAAACCTGAAACGAGAAGTCATTTATCCATATTATTATCCATGAATAGGGGAAAAACTGTTTGAAAGGTACAGAGAAGTCAGTCAAGTCTTTCTGTCAGAGACAGAGAATGAGATCATGATCAGGGATCAAAGCTGAAGCGTGCAATGTGACAGAGGCCTTTGATTGCCTGTTGCTTGGTGGGTGTTATAAGACAGCACTGACTCAAAAGGAGCGTCTGATCAGTTCTTTTTGCATTATGTAGTCCTCAGTTGAGCTTGTGATCTTGCATTTTATGTCAATTGGGATTTTGCCAGTCCACACCTCCTTTAAGAGCTCTGTCCCTGGCTCTATTACCCTACTGGCTGTGGGTAACTCCATGTAAATATATTCGGGCCACCCACCCTGCTGATAACCCCATTATCCCACTGGGCCGCTCTTTCTTTTCACCCCTGTTTTGTTCCTTTTTAAGTCACTCACCGTCCTGCCTTATTGCTGTTTCATGTCAGAGGGAGTGACAGAGGGCTCTTTTGAAATGTGCCTGCTTTCCTCTGTTGTCCATTTTTTGCCTGCACATTGTGACTAATAATTCTGCCCTTTTTAACTCCCTGTGTCTCAGTGTTTCTCAGAAACGCCTCCCTGGTTAAGAGGCCGTGCGATGTGGAAGTCACACACGAGAAGCACAGAGCACAATCACGGAGTCCATCAATGAAGTGCACGCGGACCACACACATACTCCACACACGCACACACACACACTCCTGCATGGGAAACCTACAGATGCAAGAAGCATAGGCAACTGATCTGAAGAGCCATTCACTGCCTTTTAAAACAACCTTATTTATTTATTTATTTATTTATTTATTTATTTATTTATTTATCAGTCCATCCATCCATCCATCCATTCACTCATCCATAGTATAAATAGATTGTATATATTCCATTTATACACTCTAAAAACAGATGTGTTAAAAAAAACACATTCTGTATCTTACTAGACACATCAGTGTGTTCAGTTGGAGACAAAACATTTTGAGTTACTTTTGACACAAAATGTGCTGAAATATTTCTGTGACCACTTACAGAAAACACAGTTTGTGTTACTTTTGTGCCACTTTTGTGTTAAATCAGAAAACAATATGACACAAAACGTGTTTAAACAGGTAACACAAGTGTGTTGATATTTAACACATCACTGTTAGAGTGTATATACATATATGGGATTTATACATATACGTTTTAAGGTCTATACATTTTCCCCTGTAATTTAAATAACTGTTTAAAAAAGTGTGCCCAGGCCACATGAGATTGCATTTATTATATATTATTTTAATGTAATATAATATTATTATATTTATTTTAGTCTTTTTTTTAGTAACAGCCTCGCTAAATAACGGCTAGTTTAGACATCAGAGCTTATAGGTAAAGCAAGCTCAGTGCTCCGCTGTAACTGCTGCTGGTCGCGCGACTCGGCTTCGACTTAACCGAAATAAGCAAAATACATCAACACGAACTAGTGGAATAATTTACACACTTATAAAGGCGATTAGTAATTTTTAATATTTGTGTTCTATTTTTATAGTGAAATAAACATTAAACTACAGCCCATTTAGTTAAACGTAAAATTTCGAATAAAAATGCAGTACAACCCAATATGTAATAAGGCCGATTTTAGGTTTGAATAAATGCTAAGGTGTTGAATAAATAATAAATAAAATGTCTTTAAGTCTTTTACCACAGTTTCATTAACAAACACGTCTGACAGTCTTAACGGCCAGTAAGTGATGACGCCGATTTAGAGGTAACAGACTATCGATACATGAAAATAATATATAAAAGTCCTGAAACCGTCACAAACTCGGTCTGACACAGTTTTAGTGGAAGGAAGTCTGAACTTACCTGTTCGGAGTAGAATGATGGCCATTCTTCTCCTCTCTCCTGTTTCACTCCGCCCATCATGTCTTCAGGCCTCCTGGACGTTGTGGATATTTCGCTGTTTTAAACAGGTTAAATATAAAGTGTATTAAATGAAATAAAGTCTGAGGTTTGAAATGCTCGACTTCTTCTCGGTTTGTAGTCGGAGCTGCTGGAGTTTCTCACAGAAATCAGAGTTCAGAGTTTTTTCCTCGCTGCTTTTCCCGCCCACCGCGCCAAGCCCCGCCCACTCCGCCTTCCGCGCGCTGCAATCTGCATATTGCGCCGAGAGAGCTCCTCTCACAGAATTATATTTATTTAAACATGCATATTTCAATTTAAACAGCTGAAACATATTTATCTTAGATTTAGCCTAATGTTTCTGCTGTAAAATGTGTTCATTAATGTTAATCATCGAAGCTTTATTTAGTATCTAAGTGTAAACGGTGTGAACAATTAAACTGGGATTAGTTACATGAATTAAAGAGAACAAAAAACAGTTTATAGCATGAAACCAGTGAAACAGCTGCTCAAACGGTATTTTGGTAATGAACACCAAACAAACCTTTCACAAACCTTTAGCATCTCAGTTTGAAAAAATGGCAAAAATGGCAAATTGTATGTTTAATGTAATAATGGCCGCTTTCACGAGACAGAAACCTGTAAAACAAGTAGAATGAATTTTGGTGGGAAATTACTGAATATGTAAGGAACTTACAGTGAATTAAAAACGAATTTTCACCTTCGAAATCTTAGATTAGTTTTGGGCTTTTTTCAGTATGTTTTCATAAAATAAACTAATACACATTAAATGATTAATAAATTTGATGATGCTATCATTATTAATTATCTGATTATATTGTTAACAAATGGATCTTTAAAATGTCGATCAATAGACCTGAAAAAATACTTCTAATGGTACAGTCCTATCATTCTATATATATATATATATATATATATATATATATATATATATATATATATATATGTTTCTGTGCATTTCCATTTCCATGTCCAGTTCCAAGCACTGAGCAATGATCTTTGTGTTATTAGCCATTAGTCATTTACAATTCATCTCCTCTCCTCTCTCCCTCCACATTTCCAGCCTTCTCCTCATTGTGAGAGACAGCTGTTTGGCGGATTGGGGGTGTTGGGTGTCATTTTTATTGGTGAAAAGCAAACATTTACTCTGCAGACTATTTGAAAGCACCACCCTCCTCCCCCACCCCTCACCACCACCCCCAACTCATTAGTCCTGAACTAACAAAGTCAAAAAAGGAGGAAAATATCATGGTGCAGCTGTGAAAAGCCAAATTAGTTTTCATAAGCAATGTTGATTTATTGCAGACTGCTAAATATTGCATTCGTTTAAGTGTTATTTTTTTTCAGCGCAAGGCTGACAGGTAGAGTGAATTCGGCACTGGCCGAGGTGTGAGACGGATGAGGAGACAGGTCATTCATTACACCAGCACTGAGTGCTGTTTTCCTGCTCTGCTAATCAGTTCTAATATTGACGCATATCACTGATGCACAGCTGACACCTATAATCACTTCCCTTATTTGTAAAGCTACAAGCAAAGAGACATTAAATCTCATGAGCAGTGAAGAAGGTGGCAAGTTCAGAAATTAATTTTCAGATGGCACCATTATAAGAGAAGAAAAGCTATTTTAACAAATTCAGAGAATAAAATACAGCGGTCATTTCTGTGGAATTATTTTGTTTTATGAGTTGAAAAACTATGCAACTATAAGTCTGTTTTTACTGTACTGTTTTACATGTATTTTTTATTTGTTAAAAAAAACCCACACCAGGGTCAAAAGGTCAATATGTACGAAATTTGGCAGGCTTCCTTTGAGACCCAACATCTGTTATAAAAAGATCATTCTAAAAGCTTCGCCTGTCATTTGTTGTACGCGATCGATAATAACGCACTGTGCTTGGACCCCGATTATCGCCAGTTGCAACGTAATTTGTTGACGGTCAGAAGTCAAACTGCTCTACATCCATTTTAGACGAAAACTAAACGGAAGCGGACTGTCTTGGTTGCTTTTAGCAATGATAATTTACACATATTCACATTTTTGCCCACCGTTTCAAAGCTATTGATGAAAAAACCCGATTATGTGAACTACCCCCTTCCCCTTTCTCTCTCAGCTCTGACCGGCGAATAAAAATACTTTATTTCAAAGTTGGCCGAGTGATGACTGAAGTGCCGCTATGCTGTGTTTGGGGAGAGGAGAGATGGCAGTAGACCCCCATCTTACCTACACCAAAAACTCAGATCTACACGGTTCGCGTGAGCGTCACATTTCGGCAAAATTCGCCATTTTGAGTGCTGAATGTGACGAATGTGAGTGTTTGTATGATTAAACATCTGTTATGGGCCAGTTTCCCTGACCCACACTCTCAGAAAAAGATACGAACCTGTCACTGGGGTGGTACCCTCCAGGGTTCAGCTCAGTACCTTTAGTCAGGGAACATAATTATATTTTCTAAGTTGTATTGACTCCACACACCCCGTCTCCTCTCCAGGCTTTTTATTTGATTGTTCTGAAACATCAGGTCATGAAAAGATATAAATATGTACTTTTCACCTGGAAAAACCTAGTTAAGGCACACAACTGGATCTTCAAATCACTGTTGTACCTTTGTGAGTATATTTACATTGTCTGTATCTGGATGAACACGAAATGTACCTGCACAGAACCTTTATTTCTAACAGTGCAGACTAAACTTAATTCCTAAAATCCAGGAAACTGGCCCTATAAGAAACACAGGCAGACTGTCTGTAAATGCTGTTTTTTTAACTGGAATAAAGTCATTGAAAAGTAGAGAAGTAATCCTGTTAAAACGACTTCTGTGCAGCAGGACCTGTGCCATTTTACCCCAAATAAAATGAAACATGGATGAAGTAACATAATCTGAGATGCACTCAAGTATATGTAACACAATGAAATCATTAAAATGTTACATCAAGAGCAAATCTGAAGTCCAGTTAGATTATTTTTTATTTCATGGAAATACAACATAATTCTCAATTCTTTTGTAGAACCATTTGTTGTACATCTTATTACTTTTCTCGTGTTTTTTTTTGTATTTCAAAACATGATCACTCGTACAATATGAACAAAAATCCATGTCACAATAAGATCCAGGATGACAATAAGTTACACCCGTCATGCTAGGGATTAAAAACAAAGCCTCAAAGTTTTCACTTCATTTTTTCCCCATTATCATTAACAAATTAAGCCTTTCAAGTAGGACAAAAAAAACATCTGTATGTATGAAAAGAATCCTGGAAAAGGGTCTATGACTTTACCAGGTCCTTAAAAAAGAGAAGAAAAAAAAAGTAAAAGATCAACAAAGTTAAGGAGATGAATTCATGAGGATCCACTCACAACAGTAGCTTTGTCGTAATTGCCTTTATATACAGAAAAGAGGGATTAGAATGTTTAATGTTTATTTATAACACTGCTATAACCAATGAAGAGAAATGCTGAGCTTTTGTAACTCCAATTCTAAAATAGTGGCTATTTCCCCTAAAATCACGAGCGGCCTCTCCTCACAGAGTCTGTGTTGTGCTCAGGCCGATGCAGTATAAGAGGTATTTAAAAGCCTTCCTTCATTCTCCGTTCAACACAGCACTGAAATTAAGATTTTGTGAGTTCACAATGATCAACAGCTCCACTGTTTAAGCACATACTTTGAATAAACAACTCAGACAAGCAGTCCAGAAACTGAGATGGTACTAAGTGCAACCATAGGTGGGGTTTCTTTTCCGTAGTTGAGGCAAATACTGAGTATACATATTACATAATAATAAAAAAGAACAAGTACCACGCTCAATACTTCACTTTGTCCAACAGTGACATTTACAATGAAAAGTAGAAGTTAAAAAAGGTAAAAAGAATTCAGAAAAACCAGAGTGATGAAGAAAATGAATCTCTTTAAAACGTGATTAAAAATGTGAAGGCTGATAAATAAATATGGAAACTAGATTAAGCTTTTAGTGTCCATGAATCTACTTCTATATGCTCCTAGTTATTCAGGGCAATACTGTGGATCTGAGTGAAGAAGTGGACTGCTGAAAGGCGGGTTCATGCAAAAAGAAGTCATCGCAAAGAGAAAGAAAATAAAAATAACTAAGGCTCATTTGCTATCAGTGAGATAGTGAGATCACAAGTGTCTGGGTTGGAAACATTTTAAGACTTCAAAAACAGAATAAAATAATAAAATTCACAATATCAACTAGTATATCCGCTCTGGTTAATTTAATAGTTATATTTAAGTAAGTTTCTTTCATTTTGACTTGAACATAAATGCTATTTTACTTCATTTGTACCGCACAAGTTTTTGACAGATTCAGGAAAGATCTGCAGGACCTGCTCTGATGTCTAAGGAATCGTCTCAGGGTGTTAAATGCAGAGACTGAAGGCTCAGAGGACAGCCGGGATAAAGCTGTCCCATCACTTGACAATCTAATCTTGGGACAAGCGTGGAGGTATGTCTGCCACTGAAGAAAAGTGGTTGAAAAATGCTTGTAAAGGACCTTCACCTTTCAAGGGCTCATATTTGCAAAGCATCCCCCACCAGAGGAAGGTGGGGCAGTGATAGACATTTGCTTTAACACGTGGTGGCCAGGGACTGGTGTATAGGAGGCTGGAAACAGCGAACATGCTCTACTGTGGAACTGTCCGTCTCTACAGCCTTCATGTACTTGTTGAGAATGGCAAAGATCTCGTTGTTGAGGATCTGGTACTTTCGGATACGGTCTGCCATTTTCTTCAAGGGCTGAAAAAAAGTAAAACAAAACAAATGATATAACAGATATTATACTGTCATAATATTCACTCTGCATTTTCATTAAGCTTACTCAAAAAAGCCAACTTACTGCTGCTCTTCATTTTCTTTTTATTATTATTCTATGCTCAAAAATTTGCAATGTTACAGCTTTAAAAGTAAGAACTATGAAACTTGCAGGACCACTGAGCCTATACCTGAATAGGCTGCATGTATAATTTTAACTGATTCAACTTATAGTGTTCCCTATAGGAATGAATGGGATACCATAGCAGCGGCCTAGCAACACTTTAGTAACCACCGGGAATACACAGTAAAGGCCTAGCAACACCTTAGCGACCTCCTGAGATAGCCAGGCAATGGCCTAGAAACACCTTAACAACCACCTGGGATACCACTGCAGCACATTCTCTGTAGATCCTTTGTTTTTTTTGTAAATCAAAAGTGTGATTTGACCACAGAAGGCCAAAATTTTGCATCCGAGTATTATTATTATTATTATTATTATTATTATTATTATCATTACTACTACTACTATATATTTACTCATATTCTGTGTAAAATTGGAGTCATGTCATTAAGCTGAGTATGAGAGGGCATGGGTGTGTATCTTCTGCAATATTTTAGTAAAACTACTGTTTATATTGTTTATATATGTATTTCATATATTAGCTGTGTACATGTGTCTAGTGCCCCAGATGAGCAAATTACCTTTATTGCTCATACAAGCAAGATGACAAAGGGATTTTTCAGAACAATCTAGTCAGGGTGTCTATAAACAGCTGTGTTAAGTTATGACCTGCAAACTACAAAACATCTCCAGTGTGGACTGGTCAATTTGACCCAAGAAAACTGTGAAAGGGAATAAAGATTCTCACTCACTTTTGCTCTTACTCCTTCTTCCTCCACATTTTGAAAGCCTTGCAATACAGTCAATTACCAACAAGCAATGTGATTCACTAGACTTAACGCACAACTGGATTACACCATTATTTCCATAGCAAGGTGGTGTTTGGACATGAAAGCTAATGACGGCAATAGGAAGTACGCAGTACACCAAATCAGCTGTCTCCAAAAATATCAAAACATCAGCGTGCCAGACAGGAAAGGTAATTTTCAACATAGCTGTTGTGACTTGACATATCAGCCAATCAGGCACTGCTGAGTCCTGTAAGGCATAATGCTTCTGATGCACTAAGGCAATTATGCCCATATTCAGTTCCATTAGCTCAAAGAGATCACTTACCACGTTCTTGATGATCTCATCTTTGCCGTCCTGTCTCTGGACCTTGAGCAAGTGGTAGCAGAAATCGAAGAGGTCAAAGCGTCGCTGCTGTCCCAACAGTACAATGATGGCGCAGCCAGCCCAGTTCAGTCCGTCCCCAAAACACTGCCTATAGACAGAGGCAGAGACACTGCACTCAGCATGGCCACTTACAGCTACATTTACTTAAAACTGGGCTGATGGAAACAATAACATTATGCTTTACACATCCTGCTAATGTTAATCACATACTCTGCGGTGAACTCGTGAGTGCCCACAGGGATGCAGTACACAAACTGCATGGCGCTCCAAAGCCGGTGGAACTCCATGCATTCGTCCACGTGCATTACGCCATTGGTAGGCGGAGGGCCACGCCACACGCTGTCCTGCAGGAAGCTGCGGATGCGAGTGAGGATGACCTCAAACATGGACAGGCCACAGCACAACCGTTCCTTGGTCAACAAGTCGCCCTCTCGTGCTATGGCAATTTGCTGTGTGACAAAATGAAAGGCACAAAACATGAAACAAGTTTTAAGGTTTAAAGGCTTTTTTTGATGTTAATACTTGAGTCCAGAAATTTGAAGTCAGTAAAGCATAAAAGCAACTAAAGCCACTGGAACTTCACACTATATAAAGTATATCCGCCAGTGCTTGCAGTTCTTGACATTTTAGCTTCTTCAAATCTGTAACTCTAACTGTGATTTCAGTCTGGCCCTAAATTAAAACCTTTACAGGACTGGAGTACAGAAGGTGTTTCACCTGTGGAGTCCCAAGTCTCTCGATGAGAGGAACCAAATGCAGAGGAGCGTACTTCGCCTCCAGCCTCTTCATCCTCACCTCCAACCTCTCGCCCTCTGCAGACCAAACGGCAGCACTGGATTAAACCTCACGATCAATAATTAGAGCTACTGTACTCATCTCACCAAGAGCAGAGTATAATAACTGTAGAATCGTTAATCCCTTCAAGTCTAAGATCACGTTCTTCACCTTTAATGTAGACTCGAGGCAGGATGTTCTGAAATGGGGCCGCATGAAGCAAGTCACAAACTTCTTCCTGGGACTAAAGTTAAACATATAGGCAGAAAAAGCATGATAAGCAACAAAACTGTTCCATATACAAAAGTGAACCCACGTTCCAATGTCAAAACACTCACAACCCACATACACACAGAAGTGCAATAAATGAAACAGTCACCCAGTGATAATGTACTAAACGTATGAGAACGTGGAATATATGAGAGAGAACAGTTTAAATGGTCGAAAGGCCATTTGGTCCAGAACTCTTGGCTAGCCTGGAAGTCAGTATATTCTGCCAGATTTTCCTACATTTTATATCAAATACTATTTCCACATAAATATGAGATAAAATGACTAAGTATTGCTATTTTACTGCATGTCTTGAAGAATTTTCCTTTCTTAAACTTTGCAGAAAAGCTGATTACTGACTATAAACTCTCCCACACAGGCATATAATATAAAGAAAGTATAAAATACAAATACCTGAAAAGGATTATAGCGCAGAAGTTTATAGCGCTAAGAAAAAATGGTTTTCTGTATGAATGGTTCCAAACGTGAGCGTATCTTAGTCTAAGTCATAATAATAAACACAGTTGGTGTATTTTAACAAACACCCAACAATTCACATTGCCATATCTTCATGGAACAAAATGTTCAAAAATCTAAGCCATTGAAAAGTGCAGCAGAATCCTTATATTCAGCAGGACTAGTGTGGTCTGATTGGATTTTTAGATGATAAAGCTACTGTTAAAGCTCTGTCAGCATAGCTTGGGGTCATCTTATTCTGCTAGATGTCTGTTAGAGGTCGACTTCTGCTAGACAACTTTGCTAGAGGTCCCAAACATCCCATTTCCCTTTTTCCTTATCAAAATTAGATCCAAGTTTAAAACATCTGGCATCAATTTCCTTTTGACATTTAATTTGAACTGTTAGCAGTAAACTTGCCCACCGATCATTATTTTGCTAAAATTATTAGACACACGAGTTCTGACAATTGTGTTAACCCTGAGCTCGGCAATAAATCACGTTTTGAGTTAGTTATTTATCTAGACACTAGTGAATGTAACGCACAACCAAGTATATTTTTCTAATAATGAACCAATAATTTTTGGTATCTACCTTTTGCTGGTGTCACATTGGTTGAAAATGCTCCGCTAGCTTTCTAAATTTCACGAGTAACTTCTTGTTTTGATTTACAATTTATTTCTGTTACTGTTTGATGTTGGCTATATGGAATCAAAAAATCCTTTGTTATTTGCTTTAATGACTCTGGGTTGGCCTCAATAAAAGAATCTGGTTTTGAAACTTTTGAGAAATTCCTGCTCCATAGCGAAACCCAAAATAATACTTATATTTAGTGTAACTAGTAGAGCCTCCTTATTGACAGTAATCTCAATCAAATGCCTTTCTGTAGCTCCAGAACAGTTAGAAGGTATTTTTGACTATTTTACTAAACAAAATTGTTCTGGTTCATGTATATTTGATTAGCTAGAAGTGCCCACTTCATATCAGATTTCAACGAGACTGAAATCAGGAATCATTCTAAAATACTTTTTTCATTACAGACCCTGATTTTTAAATCATTTTTCCAGTTAAGACACGGCAATATGTCTATCTTTATTTCCTCATGACTGTACACATCTGGTCCTGGGAGAAAGTGCACTAGACGTAGTTAGTTTCAGCAAAATACTCAGTGAAATGAGGTGCACACCGATTTCTGACGTCACTTCAAACACAATAATAAACCAAGCAACAGGTAGGCTTGCACCCTGATGAGAACGATGTCAATGAAAGATCAGCGTGCAATGATCGGCCCACACATTCAATATGCTTCCAAAAAGACATATTTAGAAAAGAAATGAGAAAAGACAAGCATCAGAGAAGTACAGTCAATCGAATAGAGTAGTGCATGAAAGCAGATGTGCATCAGTACAGGACATCACGAGCAGCCAGAAAGTGGTGTCCTATACTGCCATGGATGCAGAAGAAGAGTAATGTTTTGTATATTTCAGCTGGATGAGATGGAACTGATGGTCCTTATGTTCTCATCTGGGGATTCTGCTCTTTGTATCTTTGAATCCATGGCAGAGTAGGGCACCAGAGTGAGTAAGTAAAGAAAAAGAAAAAGTACAGCGACCAGCGACAGTGTGCTATTAGTCTTTGTGTGGTTTTGTTACATGAGTTAGACCTAATTCCTTACCACCTTTTGTTGTTGCCAGCGTGTAATGAGAAATAAAGTTGCGTTTTAGAGGCAGATGGCAGCACTATCTTCTACCGACATGTCATTGGTACACGCAGAGCAATGAAACACACATACACACATTCAGATACACATAGTAAACCGTCTCATCAAAAGAAGATCTTTTCATTTCCATCCCAAAACAAAAGATATTTAGCACAGAACATGTAACAAGTCGAATTCTGAGGGATAAACGACACACGTTAAATACATTTACAAGAGTCTAGCAATGGTGCCTACGGCTTCCTACAAAAAAACAAGAATTCATTCCCAGTTAGACAGAGCCCTAAACAAAATGAGTCATCAAATAAACAACGATCAATATGCTGCAATGACTCACAGAAAGAGAGAAAAATACATTGACAGGCTGAAAAAAATTGGCTCAGAAAATACACGTAAACAACAAGCCCCAGCCCCAAGAAAGAGAAACACACAGAGAAAAACAGTGAGAGAGCGAGAAAAGAAAGTACGAGAGAGAAAGTGGTGAGAAAGAGAGAGAGTAAAAGAGAGAGACAGCTACACAGGCAGGTAAGTGAAGAGGTAAGTAAAGTGTAGGGTCTCACCAGCGCTTGTTCGATGAGGAGGCAGAAAAGGATAGCGTTGCCAACCTCCCTTAGGCTCTGAAACACGTCTGTCTTCAGCTCAGCGTATTCAATGATGTCCTTCAGCTGATGGTGGAAGAACTCCAGGATACCTGGAAAACCACATAAATCATGAAACTAAAAAACTACACAGGAGAAAAGCTTTATAGGAGATTGCATGATTGCTTCTGCATTAAAAGACAGAAACGCGTTTAAGCAAATGTGAATCTACTATCCAATCTGAAAATGGCATTAATGAGCCAGTCTTCAAGTCACTGGTATACATCTTTACAAAACATTATTGCAAAACTCAAGTAGAACAAATCTTTACCACAGCACCCTCAGGGTTCTAGGAGCCCTAGAGGAGTTTACTACTGTACAGCTGAACGGCTGGTGCTGTGCCATTCCGTGTTGACTTGTGAGACCAGTTATGGTTTCTTTTTCTTTTGAGCTGCTTGGTGATAACAGGCAGGCTAACAGCTCCACACACAACAGAACACCATTCTATTAGTTAGCACTAGGTGCTAGAACTAGCTTAGCCAGCAAGCTACAGCTCCACACACCACAGTACATGTTCAGTTTCAGTGAACTGTATCTCTAACACCACTCAACTTTGCTCCCTCAGAGGTCATGTGTGAGTAAAGCATCAGTTAGCCCAACATCTTTTGTGGTGTGTGGCCTGTGAGCTGTTGCTGATCCACTGTTGTGTGTAGTGTTTTCTGATATTTGCTAGTCATAATTTAGCAGCACAGCAGATTAAAAAAAAGAAATATATTTATTTGGCGATTGTGTGTGCAAATTGGAATTATTGGAATGTTTTTGGCTTTGAAATAATACTGGATGAGGCAGGACTCAGTGAATACTTCTCTTATTAAACCAGTCCACCTGAATGGTTCCTTGGCACTGAGCATGTTTAGCCACCTGTGCCGAGGAAACAATGCTGAGCACAGAATGTAAATTTTCTGTGCCGGTGGAAATGCCATTGGAACGGTTACTCTCTGCGCCCACAACCGTTTCAGCCCTACAGTGAAAAAGATGGTGACTATCATCTCACCTGGTGATCCATACTCATGGCGAGGCAGCCGGCAGATTTTTGGCATTACCTCTATCAAAGTCTTCACATACTGCAGAATTGTACCCTGGAGCTGGAGAGCAAATCAATATAGAATGGAGCACAGTAACCACTGTGCACAAGTTTGACCAAAGCTGTGACGATTAGAGAATTATTTACGTACACAGAAAACTGCAAATGTACAGAAATACAATAAAGACCCTACTGGTAGGAAACTAATATACAGTACCAAGCTCTTGACAATCTTCAGCAGCTCCTCCATCACCACGGCGATTCCCTGGTAACCAAGGAGACGGCAGATGGTTTTGAAATGCGGGGGACCAACAAAGTTTCTGTAGGAACTGTAGATGTGGGAGTATGCGATGTTCAGAGGCTGCCAAGCAGAGAATAGCACAGTGTAAGACACAATGAACAACACAGTTACATTTTACTTTCATTTAAACTTCATAAGAGCTGTAATAAACAGACATATAATATTATATATATATATATATATATATATATATATATAAGGTTTATGTGCAAATGCACAGTGTTTGCAGGAGAGAAACCAACAAAAGCAATAGCAAAGTAGAAGGTTACAATTCACTTTAAAACAAGACACAACAGAGAGGCATGAGAGAGAAAGGCTACGATCCTAGTGGACACTTAGCCTCTGCTGCTCTCAGTGGACGTTTGTGATGAAAACAGGAAACTGCGTTTAACCTGAGTATCAGTTGTTTACATGGGTTCAACATAATGAATAATGAATTATTAAAGTAATAAATACCTTCTGAAGCTTATTTTGTCCACTATTACAGCTAATTTCACAAAATGCCTTTTAAATGAAAAAAAAAAAAAAATCTTTCTTTCGGGTTAAATTTGAGTAAATTATCCTTAATTAATTACGATTGACTACAAAAAACAATGTTATTTTTTATATATGAAGTTAGTTTAAAAAAATATACATTTTCATGAATTCATCACTTTATTCATAAATAAAGTCTACCAGCGCTAATACATACCTTAGAGCCATACAGATAGTAAGGCTGAACATTGGCAGGCTTATCCCTCTGAGGCTCCTGGGTGAAGGGAATGGCTGTGCGCACAAACCTGTTTCATAGTGGAAATAGAATTAAACAGGAATACACAAATGTAACAGCTGGAACTATTTATACAAGCGGTAAAATAAAAACAAAACGGAAAATAGGAGGGGTTATGCTTTCTATTTTTTCTAAATTTTGTTGGTAAACTAATCACTAAACACTAATCCTTCATATACTTGAACTTTATAGTGTGTCAACACTGACCTGTTGGTGGAGCCATTGTAGCAGTAGTTTGGCAGGAAGTCAAAGTTGAGCTCCCAGAAAACGTGTAGTGTGATGCGGCCATACGGCGCAGACACGTTGTGGTTTGCCTCCCGGAACATGGCATCAAAACTGTCCAAGGTCATGTGTTTGGAAAGCAGCCGATGAGTCAGTCTATTTATTTCCAGAAGCCACTCGAGCTCCTGGAAAACATGCATACACACAGTATGGATGATGAGAATACTTTTAAAGAGAGAAAATGTGTTTCAAAACAATTTATACATTTAACACTGTAATAAACTAAATGCACCATCAAGGTTTCTTTATTAAAACTACACTCAGTCTGCAGTGCATTGCTTTTTTTTTACCACTATGGACGTGAGGTCTTCACTCTCAAAGCGGCTAATGGCCTGGTCCAGAGATTTGTACATGGCTGCTGAGATCCTCTGGGTGATCAGCCTGTTCAGGTCAATGGAGCGACCCAGGAGCTGTCAACACACATACACATGCATTTGTCATACTCTGATTAAAAACTTTATTAATTTTTCCTCACAACAGAACAATTAAATCTACTTTAAGCTATAAAGTACTACAGACAAACTCTTACAGGACACAAAAGTCAAAAAGCTGTACCTGCACGTGTCTCTGTTTCAGCAGTGTCTCATAGCGGTTGGAGGGGGGGTAAGGGATGATCACACCGTAGTTCTTACACTCTGCCCGGAAGCGCTTGTCCAAGAGGACGCTGAGACACAAACATTCACATATTCATAAAGTTCAAAGGTTGACCAAACACTCAACATTAAAGGAGAATTCCATAGATGCCTTAAAATTTCTGTATACTGAAATCGTGTAAACAACATCATTCAGAGTGGGTTGATATGAAAAACGCCACGCTAGAGAAACTTGCAGATTCCGAATAGTTTCCAGTGGCGGTGATAGGAACCAGACGTCCAAAGCGTTTCATGTCTTTAAACTTATTACACAAAATGGTTACAAATATGTTGCCCTGTTTCCAAGACTTTTGTTTATGATAGTTTTGCTTTGGCCTAAAATGTATTTTTAAAATATGTGCAGAGCAAACAGGCACCTGCAGGGTACTGTAAGACAAAACAGTACTCAAAAAAACCTTTTTTCCAGATTTACCACTGTTTTACCATTAACATTATTACCAGTAACATTATTTATAAAACTCAAAAGATGTGTGGTAGACTGGATATTTTAAATAGCATGTTGTAAATAAAAATGGCTGCACTGTAGTCATTGTGACCCCTGGTTCCCATCTTTACCATTGTAAAATAATGCACCATTCACATAAACCACTTTGAATGACTTTGTTTTTTATTAATTGCTTTATGCAGAAACTTTGAAATATTGGAGGAATTCTATTTAAGTCATTTGTCAAGCCATAAATGTATAAGTGAAAGTGAAAGTTCACCTTCCAGCCATTGCTTTGTAATAAGCAAATATCTGATCAGCCAATTTGTAGACAAACTGATCAAAACAAAGGTTCACCTAGACAAAGAAAAAAATCTTAGCTACATCTTTAAACATGGGTTAAAACAGGATCAATCAGATTGGGCTATAGTATCAGATTAAGGTCTAAATCACTGTACCTCAGCCTCTATTTCATCATACAGGAACTGTTTCTTGAACTTGGTAAGAGCGTAGTATCCACTGTCATTATAAAGATCCAATGGATACAACACGTATCTAGAAAAAAATGGTAAAATTAGTCAAAAATAGTTCTGAAAAAGACATCTGGATGATTAATAATAGTAAACATGTATGACTATATGTGTTTGCTGCACTAACTCCATCATAGAAGGCTCTTTGGTCTCCAAAATGTGGTCAGTGAGGATCCAGGGCATGGACATCTCGATGGGGAACTGGATGCGGCGACCCATGGTGAGCTCCAGGAAGAACTCTCTGAACCACAGTTGTGACAGGTCACAGCACTGCTGCAGGGCCTCTGAGAAGCGATCAGGAGAAGAAATTAATCACCATGAAGACATTTTTACAGCAACAGCAAACAGGCTGTAAGAGCACAAGCAACAGTGTGGTACGTAGAGTAGCTCTTTTAGGAACCTGAGATAGTGATTTGAAATTTGATTGTGAACGTGAATGTTTTCAGTTGGAGGGGATGGAAGTGGTTTCTTACCACTGAAGTTGAGGAGGTGGGTATAGAAGAAGGACTGCTTGTGGAAGTCCTCAATGGCCTGGACTATGGGGCCATCCAGGCTGCTGCGCAGGGTCTTCTTGGAGCCACTCTTATCGGCTATCAAAGACTCAAGCATGGTTCGTACCATGTAAAGCTGCAGGTCAGGAAAGGATGAAGAGACAACAGTCAGAACAAGTGAAAATAAACTGAGACATCCCTTTCATTAAAAACTCAAATCATCAGTAGAACCTGTCATTTCAGCGTCATCTGACCTGTGTGCTTGAAGGGCCAACAGCACGGCGGGGCACTTTGATATCAAAACCTCCTTTGGGGTCCTTCTCTCCCCTCAAACAGGGATCATTAGGGGGCTCCCTGGCTCCCTCCCAGTCACAGATGGTTTTCCGAATGGCCTGTAGAACACTTTAAGGAAAGACATGAAAGAACTGTCAGTGTTTGAAGAAAATCTTGCTGAATTAAAGTGAAAAGGCTGTTGCAAAAAAAGTGTTTTATTGTGCAATGCATGTGTGATTTTATTTCAAACACAATTAGCACAGAGCCAAAACAACAAAAACTATGTCATTGTCCAATTAACTCCAGACTGTCCTGTACACAAAGACTTTCAGAAAGCCATGAAACAGCAGATTCTCATCTCACCTAATAAGGACATTCTTCTTCTTACGGACAGCCTGCCTGAGTGGCTCTCTCAGGGTGAGCTGGGCGAAGTCCTGCAGCGCAGCATAGATGGTGTTTCTAATGGCTTGGTTGAACACACTTTCCATGCGGCCCATCAGCACCTGCAGGCCTTTGATCATGGCAATCACTTCCACCAGGGCAAACTTCTCCTCACTGGTGTAGTTATAGCGTGTGGCACGCTCGTACTCCTCAGCTGTGCCAGGACAGTCTTTATTACAGAACTTATCAGTAGGGTGCACTAGTTTCCATGAGTACTGGAGTGGCACAGAGAGAAAGAGAGAAAGAGAGAGAAGAAAACTGAAAAAAAACTGGGTCAGCTGTTCAATATTCATACACATGCAAAGTCTTAGGTACTGGAGAAAAATGACAAAGTAACAATTTATTTGTTTAAAAACAAACATTTATATAAATAAGCAAATAAAAACAAACTATATATTATGATTTTATACATGTCAGTGTGTTTCCAAACCTCTCTCAAAGTAGTCCAGTATTTACAGTTGCCATCCAGTATCTAGTTTGGCTGATCAATCCTTTATTAATTTACATCAGCTGTGCTGCTAATGGAATTTAACAATTACAATCAGTTTTATCGCCCTCTAACCCTTCAGCAGTGTTCAGAGGACCACCTTCAGCTGGAAGGTTTTGGTTGTTGGACGGATAGTTTACTGTACAACCCCAATCCCAAAAAAAGTTGGGACGCTGTGCAAAATGTAAATAAAAATAAAATGCAATGACGTGCAAATCATTTAAACCCTATATTTCACTGAGAATAGTATAAGACCACATATCAAATGTTGAAACTGAGAAATTTTATTGTTTTTTACTAAATATATGCTCATTTTGATTTTGAAGCCAACAACACGTTCCAAAAAAGTTTGGACGGGGGCGGGTTTACCACTGTGTTTCATCACCTCTTCTTTTAACAACACTCTGTAAGCATTTGGGAACTGAGGAGACCAATTGCTGTCGCACTGAAAGTGAATTTTTTTCCCATTCTTGCTTGATACAGGATTTCAGCTGCTCAACAGTTCATCTTTGTTGTATTTTTTATTTCATAATGTGGGGGTGACAGGTCTGGACTGCAGGCAGGCCAGTTTAGCACCCAGACTCTTAATATGGAGCAACGCTGTTGAAATACATGCAGAATATGGTTTAACATTCTCTTGCTGAAATAATCAAGGCCTTCCCTGAAAACGTCGGTGTCTGGATGGCAGCATATGTTGCCAAAAAGTGTATATCATTCAGCATTATTGGTGCCTTCACTGATGTGCATGTCACCCATACCATGTGCACTAATGTACCCCTATACCATCATGAATACTGGCTTTAGAACTGTGCACTGATAACAAGCTGAGTGGTCTTTAGACCGGAGGACACAGTGTCCCTGATTTCCAAAAAGAATTTCAAATGTTGATTCATAGGACCACAGGACGCTTTTCCACTTCAGTTTTTAATTGCAATGAACATCAAAAAAAGCCATCTGATTTGTGAAGCGAAGGAAAGACTGATTTCTAGACAAGCAAAAGGTAAAAACTGAAAGGTCATAGCTACAAATAAAGGCACAGATAGTCCCTCAAATACACAAAACACCACCCGTCACACTCCAACACATACTTACCACTTCCATGACGTGAGTGCTCCACTTGGAGAGCAGCTGCAGGCCTCTGAGGGCCAGGTCAAACAGCTCTCTGTACTCCTCGTCAGACTTCTGGCTGTCTAGCCCAGAGCCCGTCACCACTTCACTGTTACTGTAGCGTGCAAGCTCCGAGATAAAGCGGATGTGGTCGTCTCGAATCTGCACCATCTGCTCACACAGGTTATACTGCGGACTGATGCTGCTCTGGGTGCAGGTCCACCTGGGGGAGGCAGAGGAGAATAAGGTTACAGCGAGGTCAGAAACTGTGTTAGGTCTAGGTTTGGGCAGTATAAGGTTAAAAAGGTACAACGTGGTATTTAAAAATGATGACAGCATTTAAAAATTATAATGGTATTTCAAAATTACAACATGTCAAACTTCTGCTCCACATCTAAATGGCCAAATAAACACATTCCACCCATATTTTAGAGGGGCTCACTGAATGGCAGAGTGGCAGCTCACCAATAGGTGACACTAATAAAAAAGGGAAAAAATAAGCCAGAACTTCAGAACATCAGAAAAACTAAGCATGATAGCAGCTCAGTGATGGCTAAAAGCTACACTCATCACAGAACACCTCTGATTTCAGCTTTCACTCTAACAAAAGTCAGTTGAATTTGTGCTCTCAGATATCTTTTAAACAGGTGTCATTTTAGGATCAGTTCGTGGGAACCAAGCCTGGGCTGTGGTGTGTAACATTGTCTTGTTAACTAATCCTTTGTTAGCTTAGCCAAAATGCAACAGTCACAAAGACCACAGAAGAGATCCGATTTTGTCTTTCCGTCACTCCTGTCACCTGACTTTTGCTCTCTCGGACAGTTCATCTATGCTTGTTTCAGCAGAGCAGCAGTTAGTCAGAATGAAACATGCACTGTTTGGGTCTGTAATCTGCTCACTACACTAATGTAAAATTAGCTGAGTAGGTTACAGATCCAAAAACACCAGGGAGCATATTTAATTTCCACTTTCTATCCATTTAGCGCCAGCTGCTTGACTTTACACCTAAGTGTGAAGAACTTTAAGTTCTGTGCTTTCTTTAGCCAAAATCTAATGTTCTGTGGTGAGCATGACTGCTAAGCTAATGCTAACCAGCTAATCTCTATCCTCGTCTGCTGCACTGTGGAACTGTTAGAACTGTTAGACAGACGATTTGACATTAAGTGAATGATGGCTTGAAAATTGTGCACTGTGTTCACTTATTTGGTGACGATGTTGAGCAAACTAGAGTTTGTGATTATTTTCGATTTTGAAATGATGCAGGACGAGACGGCACAAAAACAACATAAATGATTTCATGTCACTTAGGATGCTTTTACCCTTTAGTGAGGGCTAGACATCATTGGGAACACAGTATGCTTTCATAAGCCAGTCAGACAAAAGTTAACTGTAAAACCCTAACATTATCCATGCCTTTACTACTGCTTTGAAATGTTTAAACTCACTTTGACTTATTCTCCTCATAGTGGGCACTCGTCTCAATGTACCGAGACAGCTCGATCTGCATATCACCAAAAAGAGGTACCACCTGGAGCTGTGGAGGTATTTAAACACATTTTACAATTTAACACAACAACTGTGCTATATTTGTAAAGAGATTTCTCTTAAAGAGATTCCAAAGATTTTCAAAAATTCTGCATAATTAAATAGTTAAGATAAACAATAAACAAAGTCATTTAGAGTGTTCTGATGCAAAATTCTCTGTTGTAGAGAAACTTTCGGAATTGTTCTCACTGGTGATGGTGGGAACCAGACATCTTAAGTGTTTAATGCCTCTAAAAGCTACATCACAGAAAGTTATCACATAAAATTGTCATGAAATGCCATAGGAGGTAAGATTTCAGACTTAAACATAAAATCCATTTATGACGTTTTATCATCGTTACATAAAAAACTCAGAAGACACGTGTAGGTTCCCTGGCTGTTTTGGATAGTAAATAAAACTGCTATATTTGCATCATAGACATCACTACCCCTTACTCCTATCACCACCACTGTAAAGAAATATGAGTCCATAGGTTTTTCTGCAATGCTCCATTTCACATTGAACCACTCTGAATGATTTTGTTTACATGTTGTTAAACAAAATTATGTAGAAAAAAAATAACCAGGCATTTTAAACTAACCTTGAAGAACTTGTCAATTTTGCTGAGGTTTATCCTCTTCTTGGCATCCAGCTTGTAGATGTTGCTAACATTTCCATCCATCAGATAAAGCCCAAAACCCATCACCTGAAAAGCAAAGGAAACACAATCACAATTAAAAAACAAATCAAGACAAATCCATTAAACTGCATATATAGTACAATTGATAGACCACATAAGACTCTGAGAGAAGGTGAAGCCTTCTCCACCTTGAGCAGCATGTGCTTCTCGCTGGGCGTCAGGTACATTTTGTTCTCATAGTAGTCCACACAGATGTTAACGATATCAGCCAGAAGCTCCTCATAACCAGGAATCACCTCCAGCTGCTGATGCAAGCACTGAAGAAAACAACCAAACAGATCATTAAAACATACAAAAATCACATATAAGAAACACAGGAACTAAAACGTATCAAGGAAATTGAGGGGAAATCAACTATACCTGTGTAATTCTGTTGTGATTGGCTAAGAACATGGAGAGATTTTGGGACTCCTGGATAGACTGTGGGTCTGCCATTTTTCTGAGGAACTGAGCAGCTCTATAAAGTTTAAAAGGATAAAACAGGGATGAGAAATTAAATAGAAAGAAATCACACTGACAGGAATACTTACACAGTAATTACTAATATTAATCACAATAACTACTTAGTTGAAGATCATTTCTGTAGCTGTGAACCTGCTGTACCTTTTGTAAGCAGAGTGGTCATTCTTGACACTGCACTTCATGTTCTTGAGTTCATCAAGGACTGCAAACATATTGATGAATTTCCCCAGAGTCAGCAGGTAGGCCTCGGAAACAAAGTCCTTCCTGCGCTCAGCGTGACACAACCGCTTGACCTCACTGCAGAAGCGCTCAATGGCCTTACGCTAGAACAGGATAATAGATGTAAATGTTCTGGACCATTTAAATAACCTTTACTCAATCAGGATTTTCCACAAACATCTAGCAACAAGCATTTTCCTTCCACACAGTGATGTATTTCAGAGTGATCTCTGAGCTAGCTGGGCATTTTGCACGATAATAGACAGGGAGGGGTAAATTAAACTATTGTTTTATATTGTTTTCCCCACCCGCTGGTGCACAGTGATGTAATCAAAACTCAGACATTTTAGAGGCGGGTAAAAGTCATTACATTTTGACGGAATATTACCAAAAGGCAAGAATTTTGTCTTTTAAATGATACCAGGGCGGCTGCACACTTTTTAAAATCAACTACAGTGCTTTGTAACACCTTGACATAGCAAAAATAATGCTATTCCCACAGAACAACACCACCCACAAACACAAGTATGGTATGTATTAATGTCTATTTTATTTAAACAGATGACTGAAATCAAACATGGATATATGAGTCTTGCACTGCCTTCTCAGTGTGTTTGACATTATCAGTTCTGCTGTTTTCAGGCCCTTCATCAATAGTCAGTTTCTGACTACACGACTGCTATTGGCTGAGTATTTTTGGTTAGCAAACTATCTGGAATTACTCTTATTGACCAGGGTATATTTTGGTTTTTCCATTTGAATTTACATGACCAAATCGTGAGGCAAATTATTCAGTAACTGTATGAAATAAATGTAAATTTTTATTTTATTTATTTATTTTAAAAGCTCCCCTCAAATGAACGTGTTTTATGATCATATACATATTGCTATATGCTTACAATTTACTGCTGAAAGCCAAAAATCTTTCGCTTTTTGTATTTTTTTTATGAAAAAAATTTTAATATAGAGTATATCACTGAAGAGACACCATCTGTTTATAGTTTATAGCCCAGATTTATGGAAAAATGGGTCAACTTTCAGTAGACAAAAAAACTGTGAGTTCACCTTCTTTTATTATTAGGGTTTAAAATTACATTTCCCATCTATTTGACTGGAAAGAAGACAGTTACAGCTCTCAAATGTGATCTTAAGGAGTTGAAAAGGTCAAAGTAAGCAATGACTCTTTTCAACCAGGTCTTTAGGTTTCATCTTACAATTTAATTAAGGATGTCCCTACCAGTTCTGTGCCCCCAAAATGTTTTGACTATCAGCCGATAACGTCTGATTACAGCCTTAGAGATGATTATAGATTATACAAGCACATAAAACATAATACTACAGTAAAATTTTACTCTTGTATTAGATGGTGGTCAAACTTATCGTAACTCTTAAGGCTTAATATAATGTGACCTTCTGGACTGACTTTAAACTTTTTTGGCCTGCTTTTTCAAAACGACCATTTTATAGTGTGTTTAATATTGATTATGATCCAGTTTGACTAAACTGCCTGATTTGGCTACCAGTTACTTTGAAAGGCTGCAGTGTGTGTACACCCTGATGTACATCCTGAACTTATAGTTTTGGTCTATTTTTGTGAAAAAAAAACTGAATGTGCTGCGATTTTATATTACTCTGACACTTGTGCAGTAGCTGCTCATTTCTCTCTGTTTTGAATGCACTGTTTCTGCCAATGCTGGTTTAAAACCAGAACCACCTGCCGCAGCCAGTAAAGCTGAATGTTTCTGTGATTGTTTTATTTTGAACCAGCTGTGATTCATGAGTGAATGTCACAGGAGTGTGATTTACAAACGGTTTTGGTGTTATGTTGCCTGTTTTAAGTGGCTCGAATCGCAATAACCTCACACTTAAGTTTTACGTGCCCATGTTTTGATGAAAGGCACAGGCACGGCCAATGTTTTAAGTTCACATGTAAAATAGTTCCACACCGCAGACGTTTAGATGCTTTGTCAGCATCTGAAAACATGCCTCACTGCTGCAGGTTGTTGAATAATGTCCGATCATTGCGCCTCAACAACAGTGGAATAAACAGAGTGCAAAAAAAGCAGCAAAGGATCAGAACTGGATCAGCTTTGAAACAGCTAACTTGATTCATTAAAACATGCCAGGATATCCCAAAATGTAATACCTCTAACAGTAAAAATAAGATATTTTCACACTTTCTATGACCTTCAATTTTCTTTAATCTATTTAAGATCTGTGGGAACCCTCTGTGAAGAATTGTGCTTAGTATGCAGGAAACCATATTATGAATTATGCTTAATATGGCCAGGGACATAAACTAACAAGGTAAAAAAAGGATGCTGATTTCAGGTTTCAGATTGATTTAAGGGTGACTTTAAATGAAGTAATTGTGGCAGTAAAGAATAAAGTGGCATTATGTTCAGAGGTATAGGTAAAACACTGTATTACATTAGAATGAATAAGGTTAAATTCTCCTCCTCTCTTACCTGAAAGTACATAAACTTCATCAGCTTTGTGACCTCAGGCTCCAGCACTTCCACAGTCTTCTCATAGATCTCCACCCGGTTGGGCTGCTCATTGCACTTCACCTAAAATACACAAGAGGGCAACGTCACACAGGCTGGCCATTCATTATCTAGTCAGAACACACAAAAAACATTGTTTCCCTCTTAACCATACAGTAAAGTCAAGTTTATCTTTCATAAACAAATAAAAATTTCTGTAATGATTGCAAACAAACCCAAAAGAGCCGTCTTCTCCAAATAGCTATAAAAAATGGTGGCCCACTGATTAGTATTAAACAGGCTGTTTTTTTTTACTGTGCATTTCAGTCATTTGCTAGAAAATGTTTAAAACCAGATTACAGTCAATGTCAATAACGCTAGATGCTGTCTAGTTGAAGTAAACTTATACAATATTTACAAAATACCTTTTATATAAAACCACAAAGTCGTAACTTATAGAAAAGTATAGGAGAAAATGTTTCATCAAAAAGGCTACATTCTACATTTTTACTGGTCCACTTATGATATTGTGTTGGTTTATGTATCAAAAACAGTCATAATTCATTTTTACAAGGCTTCTTTTTATGCCTTGAGCCTCAGTCACACTTGCACTTACCAATGACATTTAACAAACAAAATGAATACATTTCAATGAAATCTGATGACTCTTTAAACACTTCTTTCCACTGACTATTAATAAAGACATGAAAAGGAAACAGCATGAGGTGCAGCTAGTCATGAGGCTGTGGTATTATATTTATTTTTGTAGTTTTACAGTTTGGTTTAGATGAGTTAAGCTGGGTAAGAGCATCGCCAACCATGTCAGTCATGTTTTTGTTTTTTGGCAATCAGGTGTTTAGCATGTTCTTGCGAGTATAAAATTATATGATATATTCATGTTCATTTTTGAGTTTTACTGTTTATGGTTAGCAAGTTGGCTAGCTTGCTAACTGCACCACACAGAATTTTTTTCCCACTGCAGATCTTCCAAACTAGCCTTAGTCATGCCCATTTTGCAATGCGACACACACTACAAATGTCTAGTGTAACTGCAGCTTTAGAATTAAACACTGTTTTTTTACTGTGCCTAAGGCTGATATATGTAACGTCAACAGGAATGGACAGGGCTACACTGCCATAGACAGATATATGTAACTGTGATGTTTGTCGTAACATTGAAAAAACAATTCATTTAAATTGGGCTGCTTTTTACAGCTTAGTTTCTTCATATGCACTGAGAGGACTGGAGAATGAATGATACGTTGTGAAAACTAAACAATGTTGACAAATTACATTGAGATCACTAAGAGGGCCAGCTGTGTCCTTGGAAGTCTCCTAGATGCAATGCAGGTGTTGGGAGACAGGAGGATGTTAGCCAGACTACCATCCATGCTGGAGAACAGCTTCCACCCCATGCATGAGACTCTGGCAGCACTGGGCAGCTTCTTTAGTGACAGGCTGCTTCACCAAGTGCGTGAAGGAGCGTTACCGCAGGTCCTTCCTTCCTGCTGCTGTTAGACTGTACAAGCAGCACTGCTCCCAGCAGAACCACCCCCCCCCACCCCCCGTTAGTCCTCACACACCTACAGTAGGTAAATTGTGAATTCATCACCATACCCGTGTGCAATATAATCAATACTTCATCCATTTCGCATGTGCAATACATGTAAAATAACCTTACAGTGTAAATATTTTTTGCTTTTCTATTTATAATGTCTATATTGTTAATTTTGTGAAGGATAGAGTTTATATTTTTTATCTTTAGTATTATATATTGTTTATACAATAACAATAAACTGCAACAGTGTTAAGTAATTAACAATGAATGGCTTTTTGTATGTACCTGAGGTATGGCTCTGGAGCAGCTCCTCCAGGTGTACAGCATGACGGCATATTCATGCCCTTCCTCCAACATTTCATTCTGAAGAATGAGACACATTATTAGAGGCAAGTAGTAAGATACTGCAGAGTACTGTATACACAGAGAATCTTAACACCACATCAACTCACTGAATAGTCCCTGATATCCTGTCATGTACTACTATTTAGCCCAAACTGTTTAGCCTAAATTAAAAAATAACTTAAAAATGAAAAGCAAATGTTAGTATATATTTTTACTTCTGTATTACTTCTGTATGGTGAAAGCCTATGCACAGACATTCTAGTGGGTGGGGGCTCCAAGGAAGGAAAGAGCAACCTGAATGTGAATTAAATTAAATTGTATAAATTGTACAGTACATGGAGTGTGCTTTTATCCAGAGAGACAGTCTAATCAGGTTTTAGGGGACGGAAAATGTAGTCTTAGGAGTCTGAAAGGCCATGTCCTACATTTTTCTTGTGTTTTATGTTTTTCCTTGAGGTCCACTTATAATATTTTTGTGGCTTTATGAACCAAAAACAATCATGATTAATTGTTAATGACTATGTTCCAACCTCTTTGTATCCCTTAGAATTAAACAAGCTGTCTTTATCACTATATATTAAAGATGATATATGTAAATAGCCTCCGTTCTGATTAGATGCCCTGTGTTGTGCCTTATTCAAAAATTAGTCTAGGCTAAAACACTCCTTATAACTTCAGTGTGAATTAGCAGGGCTAAACTACTGTAGGCTGAATAGCATGATATATGTAAATGATCTGGCTATCATAACATTATGAAAGCACTGAATTCAAAATGGGTTGTTTCTGCTGCTCAGTTTCCATATATGGACAAAATGGACTGAGGAGAGAACAGTACGTTGTTTATATACTACATCAAACTCTTATTTCGAAAAAAGTGAAAAAAAAAATAGTTTTTCCAAGATATGGGCCCTAAAGATGACGGCAGCCTAAAAAAACACTTCATCACATGCTGATATGAGAGTGTTCTTGCCAGAGCATTGAAACGGTGATCTACCGTTTACAACAGGCATGTCAAAGTGGGGACCTTCTGGGCCAACGTGCTGTGGAGATTAGCATTTACCATCATCTAACGCTCTGAATTCAGTTCATGAAGGCCTTGCTAATTAGCTGATGAGCTGAATCAGGTGTGTTTAATGAGGCAGTGTGCTGAAGTCTGCAGTGTTTTGGCCTGTGAGGACTGGAGCCCGACACGTGGTTTACGAGGAGGTAGAATTATCCACTATTTTATTTAACTGTGATTAAAAAATTGAGAAAGCTGGATTATAACTCACCTTAGGCAGCTGGTTTCTAAAGACCCCCACATAGCCTTGCATAAATCAATGTTCGTTTCAATAACTACGAACTCGGTTTAACATGTTATTAGCGCATCTCACAACTGTACAGACTGGCCAGTCAAAGACCTCCTCTGGTAAAACTAATGCAAAATAGTGCTTTAATGTGATTAACATCTGGCATTGTACCGGTTAGCTGCAGTGTTAGCTCTTTAGCTTATCTGAGGAAGTTTCGGTTACTCGTCCAACATGAAAACCTACTGATTTCCCTCTGATATTTCTGAATAACAAAACGTGTTCAAATGTATTCTGCTGTGTGCTGCTCATTTTTTGAGCAACACCAACCAGTGCTGTTACATAAAGAAGGTAAAACTACAGCTCTGCACTAGTTTGAGTCAAAGGGTCTTTTTTTTGCTGGTGTTTTTCCTTCCTTGCGGTTTATTATTATCCTTTCATTAAACCTTACTTAAATATCAAAATTAGTTGGAATCTGAGTATGCGAGTAGTGTGGAGCAGGAGCGGAGCGGGGACTGGAGAGGCAGTTCTTCAGATATTACACACAACTCGTCTCATGTCCCTCATTTTGCTGCATGAATAATTAAGATGTGCATTTGTTTACGGCAGTTATCTGGCTTGTTATTAGGCCATTGTTTCAAGCGTGTACCTACTGAAAAAAAGGCTCTGTAGCACAGAATGTTTTACTAGTTTTTATTTAATTCTGGCCACATTATATAACTCATGGAATGAATGCATATTGTTTTGTTTCAGAAGCAAATATCATAATTTTTTTCTTTTCTCTGATGTGTAAGAAAAGAGCGGCAAATAGAAAACACAGAGCGGAGTGATTACACAATGTCTGCTGCTCCTCTCCACTCACACAGTCTGGTCAGAATGCACATCCCTATTTCCAGGGATGTAGTGATCCATAGATGTGGTGTGCATTCATGACAGGTTGTAATTGACTGGGGTGAAATCTATAGGGGGCCCAACAGCGATGAAGCTCATGGACCGTAAGCCAACCCACAAGCTCTATTCCTTGCATGAGACTGCACTAAGCAAAAACAGATCTATAACAATAGCACAGACAATATAAAAATAGAAATTGTTATACATGCCGGCAAAGAGGGCACCTGTACAGTCTAAAGGCAAAAACATGCTGATATGGTGCTAAAACAAACATACATATCAGATCATAAAATTAGGGCGTTGTTACTCTATTAATAGCCCATCACTTACTAATGGTTAAGTGGTGAACGCTCTAAAACCACACGCAGGGCACGATCTTAAAGATTCTCTAAGCATATAATAGACACTCAGAATAGAAAGACTGCACTCAACCACGCAGCGTAGCCACAGTAGCTGAAGAGCTTCACTTCCCCATTTAACCATGGAAAAACTATGTGTATGGAAAAAAGCTAACTGTCCGTCAAAGCACCAACATCACTGCAGTGCCTGACGAGAGTCTAGTGACCACTTTTACCTAAACCTACCTTCAATCAGCCAAAAACCCAGGGGGAACCCCACCTCAAACATAAACAAGACTGTCTCTGAAAGGGGATGTCTGTTATATACTTTCACTGATTAGTGTCTATCTAATACGTTAACAGGAGAATGGGAATGTGCTTCTATTCATGAGTTCATACTAGCCAAACATCCAGTGATAGCAAATAGAAGTAATCTTGTGTCCAAGTCATAACGCTCTGCCTTTTATCATGCAGCTGTCCTGGTCACATGACAGTGTCCAAATATGCAGTAGCACAGAAGACGCTTCTCTCTACTCACCATGCTGGAGTGGACAGTGGCCTGTTCAATGTACCGGGCGATACCAGTCACAAAAGCATTTCTGTCCTCAAAGTTGGTGTCAAAGTTTGCCTGTTTAAAGAGAAAAAGATTCCATTTGTTTTTGTTATAAATGTGTTATAATACACACCCAATGTAATCCTGAGTGACAAGTATGATAACTGTGAATTACCAAATTACTACTAGTGAATGTCTTTACTTATACTGTCAAAAAAAGTTACCAGGCTGATTAAAAATTTAGAGTTAACTGAATATTTAATATTAACTTTACACATGAAGAATCTGTGGCGACCTCAAGTTTTAAAGCAGCCCAGGAAACAATATTTTGAGTTAAAACATTTATTTCCTACGGTGTATTTATTTTTTCAATTTTAATTTTAGTTATTTTAGTTCAGAGACAGTTTATTTCAGTTTGTGAAAACAGAAGACCTGGGGCCAGTTGCACCAGCTGTATGTAGGCTAGCTAAAATGTAAGTGTTTACTACATTCAGGTTTACATATTACTTAATCAAAATGAGTTGCACCTCACAAACTCATTTTTACATTCGTTTGGGCTTAGTAGTTATTACATATTTTTGACAGGTGTTGGGGAAACCAACGGAAACTTCATAGACAGCACAAAGAAGACCGAAACTATGACCTGCCTTTTTTGCTTAACTAAACAACAAACACTAAATGCTACATGCTGTGATTTTATTAACTTGGTTTTACCATAAAGATAATGTTTCCATGACAGCAGGTTTATAGATTGATTCTGAACATGTCTTTGTCATTTTAAAGCAATGTACATATCATTTAGTTGTTACTAGCTAAGACAAGACTTTGTGGTGCAACTGAATTCAGTCAACGCATAGTCTGAACTAGTCTGAATTAGTATTAAAGCTGCACTTTGTAAGATTTGGAGGAAATATGTAATTGCACACAAGGTGCAAAAGAACATTTTTTAAATTTGGCTGTACTTCAGACCCCCTAAGTGAATGAATCTGATGTTCATGAGAGTCCAGATGTCCAGAGTTCTGAAAGAAAACTTGGTCCAAACTTGGTGAATGACATGAATAAGGATGTATGTGAATTATCTTCTACTGTCTTCCTATTTTCATTAGTATAATGTTAATTTTGTGTTTGAGACCTAAATATCAAACAAATTTTCTTTTTGAGCCCGTGTGTGATGTTAATGTGTAAAGACATATGACATGGTTCAAATAACTCCCACAAAATCTGACCCGGCACCAACTAACAGTATGTGCCCACTTGTACTTTTTCTTGCCAAATTCTGCTACACCGGATCTCTGTGCTTGCTGCTGGCGGGCGTGTCCTTATGGAAATGAAGGAACAGTACTGAACATATCTGAGCCAGTAAGCAATCTAATCTCTTTGCACAAAAGTTTTCAATCAGACTAAAATACAGACCTATGCTTTTTATGATTTTCAGAATGCAGTAGTCCTCCACACAAGCTAGAAAGTTAGCTTGCTCAATCTCATTAGCAAGTGAGCTACTTTAGCAAGTAACCAACAAGCTCTGTATGGTTTAAATCTTGTCTTCCAGCTCAAACTATGTAAACCTAATCTAACTGAACGTCTTCTCTCCATATCCTCACTATTCACAGTTCTGTATAAAACCAGATATTTTCATTAATATGTAAAACTGTCATGGATTGAGAGCAGAGAAAGAGAGCCGCAGTTTCTTTTTTGCTGTGCGGCGAAGCAGATTCTGCACGATGCAGCAGAGCTCTACACTGAAATGCGGTGAGGCAAAGTTGCAAGTGGACATGTAAGGACTGTGAAGACTTCATGCACAAACTTAAGAACAAATTTCCAAAAATCTGGTGCAACCCAGTCAAGGTGCTAACTGAACCTTGTATATTTCTGATTCTTCGTAGTTTAGATCTGTGTGTTCCTTCAAACTGAGTGTTCTATACTTTCTACATCTGTGATGTTTGTAGTGCTGATGTTGACCTCATTCAGTCAGTTAAAAAACATTTATTCTCCTTCCACCATTGATTCCCCATGAGCACTTTGCTCCACGAACAATAAGAGAATACAATATTATACAGAACTTAGCCAGTACTGGTACTTTTTTGTGTTGGTTGTCTGACATCTAGCCAGTGTGCAGGGTTGTTCTTTGTGTGGAAACCCACACATGGACTAGTTCCTTTCTTGACCTATAAATCTCACATAATAGCCCTGTAGCTGGCTGTGTCCCAGTCAGTACCTGGTACATGATGGAGGAAGGAGGCGGCTCGATGCATGGCTGCTGGTCTGGGAGCGGAAGCTCCTCCAGCAGGTCCACGTTGGACAGGGCATCCTCCAGAGTCACGTGGGTTGTCATGGCGACGCAAGATCACTCACAAAACAGCCCAGTCTGAAACACACAGACAGTGTCCTTAACATTCAGCACAGATTAACTCCAGGCTCCACTGGCTGGACGCCCAAAAACAGTTCAAACAACTAGTCTTGAAGTAGAGAAGCAACGGTGGTCAGTCACCAGTATAAACCGCAGTGATGCAGGGAAACGAAAATACTTGACCGAAACCAAAAGTGAAAATCACAATGGGGCAAAAACCAATACTGAGAAAAGCTGACAATAGAAAAAAAAAAACAAAAACACACAAACCAAAAAAAGAAAAGGCACATACATGGTTACAAACAGGGTTAAGGGATGTTGTTAGGCACAACATGAAGCAGAGGTAACGATGGCAAAAACTGTAAATTACTTATAATGGCTTACTGCCTTATTAAACACCCTTTTACGTTTGAGACTAGGCTTAATAGCGGGCTTGTGTTAAAAGGTAACAGGGATGCACAGATATAGGAATCATTGGCAGATGCCAATATCTGATATTTTTCTTGTACATACAGACATACAGTACTGTGCAAACATCTTAGGGATATTATTTAAAATGATTTACCTTAGCAGTAAGTGTATTTTACCAGCACACTTGCAGTGCTGTCAGATTGGGTAGGTTCCAGCCAAATTGGGCAGATTTTGGTTGGATTTGGTGGGAGAAAAAGTGTTTTGGTGGACAAAATTTGAGCTGGTTAATCATTATTTGGGCAGGTTTTAAAAATATATGTTACACTAATAAGCTGCATTATGTAATAACATTATGTAATAATGCAGCAGAAATTTGAAAAGGTCTAAATTCTCCCCACATCCAGTTATCAAAATGTTTGACTGATGTACATTTTAGTCACTCCTGTTGAGAAGAGACCGTTTCCCCACCCATCTGTATCGCTCGCGATTGATATCAATGCTTGATAATAAACATACGCAGTTTATTATTATTTATTTTTATTTATTTTATTATTGATGTGATAGATGTGCAGATGTGTTCATATGGCATTACTGACTGTACAGAGCTCTGCAACAGCTGGAAATTCTATGCATTTGCCTTTCTGATTGAATGGAATTATGGGTCCTATCATATACAATGCATTGAAAAATTGATCTGAAACAACTGATAAGTTTACACAACTGATAAGTTATGTCAATAAAATAAACAAACAAAACCAAATAATTTAATTATTTTATTGAAATTCTATATAGTTTCTTTGTCCAGGCATTTTCAGATGTTTGACAGGGACTTAAAAACATTACACAAAAAGTGTCTAGTTCTTCATATGATAAAACATAGTGATAAACAAATTTGTTTAAAAGACTAATAATGTCATCCAGTGACAAATACTTATTTGCAAACATTAACGTAGCCCTAAGCATATTACAGATGTCATCTGGTTAAATGCTGCATTATTTCATATTATGGATAAAATGACTGTAATAAGAAATGTTTTTGATGTGTGTTGTTGGGGCGTAACTACTAAAGCTGGCAACCCTGCACACTTGATGTAACATAACGAAATACTGATTAGCCAAACCAGGTGAGGGATAAAAACTACACGTAATACCGCAGTCCCATGATGAGAGGTTTAGAAAAGGTTGCGCATATTGACACATAAAATCAATACTTACTGTAGTAATATTATTTCTTTTAATTTGTTCTAGTATGAGCGTTTTTTTTTCTGCGCAAATTAACACTTACTGCCCAGATAATAAACTTTTTAAATCTAATTTTCTGAGATGCCTAAAACTTTTGCACAGTACTGTATCTGCCAAAATGGATACCGACACAAACATTAATAAAACATGTTAACTGGGAAAGATCCCCTGGATTAGCATAAATGCAGACAGATTAACTCCAGTAATACAGTCACCTAAATATGTTGCTTCTCCAAAGCATAATAAATACGTCATTAAAAATCTGTTTGAAGTATCTGTGGATGCTGATATGCTTTCAATATCCTCATGCATCCCTCGTTGTAAATGTTCTGTATCATTCAAAATGCAAGAAACATAACACACGCAAACACAGTGCACTCTTTGGCTGACATTCTGACGGGGAAATGTCATGACCTTCAGTATGGCGTCTAGTTAAACGCTTTCACTCCAGCTAACAGGTAAAAGTGAATTAGTCTCAAAACATCAGCCTTAATGCAGTTACAAGAGATCTAAAAAACACTACATTGTGTGTTCTATTAATTTAGCACAGTTGAAGAGTCTCTGCTCAGAAAAAGGAACATTCTTGTTCTATTTACCACCAACTTGATCAAAGACTTTTTAAAAATGCACACAGAAATGTATCATGTAACCAACCAGAACATGTAGCAAAAGGTGAAGATATATGGCTATGAGCCATCTGACCAAGACAGAGGCTGATTTATAAACTCTTCTTAATTTTACTTCCTCTGGTGTGATTAATAATATTAGCATATGACAATTCAATGAAGAGCCTGCATGAAACAATACAATGGTTCGCTTATTTAGAAAACTGAAAACAGGAACTCAGGGAGGAACTTGCAGAGTACAAAAGTGTGCAAGCGGCGAAGAACACACCACAAAAGGCGTGTGATAATGACACAGTATGGTGACAGCTACACACTGAAGCTCACTCGACAAAACCCTACCTGGATGAGGCAACTGACTTAAGCAAGCAGCAGTGAAAAGACAATCCTATATGAACAACTGTTTAACTTCTACTTATTAACATTCTGAAACATAAAAAAATTCCAAATATTAATTCACAGCATTTTCTGACACAATTTAGGTTCTTTCCGTGTGGTTTGTGCAACGCCTATGTGGGTTTGTGTCTGTTACACATTTAGAAACATTTACAGTCATGATTTATGCTGATATAGACAGATCAAGTCCTTTCTAAAAGTGGAAAACCCTGGGCACCCTGCAACCATTTCAAAACAAAGGTGCTGTACAGTTCAAGCGTCTAGGACACATATCCAAAATTGTTTCAGTACAACACACAGCATTAGTATTTGTGGTTTAATGAATATGTGTATCTTGTATTACAGAAATCTTTATGTATTTCATATTAGCAACGGTTCTGGTGAAACTGAAATGAAGCTTCGAGAATACAGTTAACTCAGACAAGTGATTATCGTCTGCACATAAACAACATCATCATAATCCAAATTCAGTTTTGAAGCACCACTTTCGTTTCAGAGCCTTATAGCTTAGATTTATAGATTTTCCCTGGTGGTAATATAATTACCACATAATTAGCGACTGGGCTAGCTTCTAATGTTACTTAATATTTCACACTGACATGAAATGATATATTGCACTGTACTCTACAGTCAACTTTCTATAATTAGACAGAATCATGTTTAGAGTCGACCAAAGCTTACAGCTTTTTTCTTGAGACCATGAAAATGTGAGTGAAAAACAGCTGTTCTGCAAATGTACATGTAAAATTTACCGTTAGCTATCTACCTAAACTTGATCTGTTCCTGTAAGACCCATAATTTGCCTCAGTGAATGCGTTGACTGCTTTTTGTTTATTTTGTCTCAAACAAAACATTGAAAATGCATCCATTTCAGATGTGGACAATAACTGCGGTCAACTTTTTTTATGTGCAATGTTCTCAAACAACTGCAATCAGGAGATTATGTAATAATTGTGACAGGTCTAATTATGACTGTATTTTTTCACAGACGACATGTAACACTGATAACATCCAGTGGTTAACAAGCCCATCCTTTTCACTCTCTACCAGGAGATCTCATGTATTGTCTTATTTGTTTCATTTGCATGTATCTCAGTATTCTTTGCAGGTCGAATATACATAACAATGTTTCCAAGGCCCGATTTACTAGTGTCCTGGGCAGGCTTCAACAAGAACAACTGCCCAAATGCCCAGGGCAAGTAAAATATTCATTTGGCACAGCAGCATTAAAAATCATTTGCACGGTCAGGCATGCTAATGTTCTGACAGTGAACAACCGATGCAGCCTTCATCCATTTCTATATGCAAACACCTCACCGCAGAAAAAAATGGTGCAATCCTCTTAAGTTAAATCTAGCCAACTGCACTGTTTGTTGGTACAAATTTGTAGTGCATGACATGATACAAAATGTCAGCAAGACAGGACAATTAGACAGCCTTGTCGCAAATGGCACCCTAAGCCCTGCAGGCCTCCTCAAATTCCACACTTTGGTGACAACAGGCAGACCTATAGACCACAAGACCTGGAGGGTGCCTGGTTTAAACGTGTACATTTGGGACAGACTCGTATGATATGCATGCCACACTTTTTTTTGATGAGCTAATTTGCTTATACACAGTAAGTGAATTCAGGTCACAAGCATAATTCAGCTCATTGACAAGTTCAATTATTAACTGAAAGCAAAAGTGCTGAGTACAGGTGTTAATGGACGTCAACGTGTTTTGGAAATGCAATATGATCTGAGCACTTAAACCACCTGGTAAAGGAGGTGGTAAAGGATGCATATGATCACCGAACATTTATAGTGTGAACGCTAAAGCAGAGACTAAAGAATAGCATCGCTCCTTTCCTCACTTTCTCTCGCTTTGTTTACAAGCTGCACTAGCAGTCCACGCTGTCTGAATGTTTGTAACGTCACGTACATGTACACAAACAAGGACCTGCGTCACATTTTTGTACGACAACAAACTGCCTGACGTAGTAGATCTGAGGAAGACCCTTCCTCCATGACAAAATCTGATCATTAGTGGTCCCCGGAGATGCACTTGAGACTCACTGAAAGGGCAGGTGCAAACAGCTGTACAGCCTGCTGTCCACTTCTGACTAGATCAATCGAGAAAGATGGTAATATAAAGTGTGAACAGGGCCTACATATGCATAAATATAGCTAATTTGATGGTTATGTTTTGTTTGTCTCATTTTTTCTATTATACATATTTTTAAATTAACCAAACATTAGAATTATTGTACAAACGTAGTAGAACGAAAAGGTGCCCTTGAATATGATTAGACAGCTGTAACTAACATGTCTTTTAACAAATCAGATACTACATCTGACATGACAG